TATATATATATTATAAAAGATCTACACAAGTTTATACATAGCTGTGCATACAAAACAAAATGCTTCAAATTATTGGCCCTTTAACAAAAATAGAATTCTAAAAAGATATACATTTTTGTGAGTTGCCACCTTAAGGAGATTGTACAAACTGAAACATGGTGTATTTGAAGTTTTATGTTGAGTGAAAAACTACATCTAGGTTCATTAATGAAGAAATTAGGGATCATAGCAGGACCATGAAACTATTCCTTTAACACCTTATTTGCTTAGCTCTGCACACACCCTATGATAATTCATAAAAGAAAGCACAACAATAACTCTCATAAGAAAAAGAAAAGAAAAGGGCTAACCCTAAGAGATGAAAGGAAAAACATTAAAACCACTACATTTGACCCATTCAAAAAGTTAAAGGCTAGGAATAAGAGAAAATATTATGTTCGGAGCCCGGACATAGTTTAACGTCCTAACTCCAATTTAATTTTGACACATGTTTATTCAGCTAGACCCACCCACTTCGCGAGATAAAAAAAAGCTGATTTTTGGCGATGAGCTGAACCTGCTCTGAAACTAATGCAAAAATTAGTAAGTGTTACCTATTCAAAAACCCACCCCATCCTTCATTTATGTTTTACACTCTATGGTTTTCCATTTTCTCTCTATAGCATTATATGGGTTGCCAAATTGGCTTGCTTATGCATTTGAATGAGATTGGCGAAGCTCGACATTAAGCAGAGCATTTATCAGGGTAATTTGGTCGATCTTTTTCAAACAGCTTTCAGTTCTCTTCTAAACTCTTGAAGCTATTTATTACACAATACTTAGGGTTTTACGGTGATGCATAAATAGGAAATGAAGGGAAAAAGCAAGACAAAATAAATCAACTGTTCTTCATGGTGCATTGGTCATGGTTTAATTTTTTACTATTTTTTGCAATTCCTCTTAGCAGAAGAAAATGGATGTACATATGGGTGCATTGCATCATTACTCCTCTTTAAAAAAAAATGTAATCATGTTTTTTTGTTGGTTCAAATCTATTTTTCCTCATTTAATTTGTTTACTATATTCCCTTATATCACATATTTCAACCAAATGTAGTCATGATTTACTATTGGAAAACTATGAAATTGATTTGATAAAGTTCATTTATTCAATGTGTAAGAAAAAAATATGATTACATTTACTATTAATTTATTACTGGTATCAGAGCATGGTTTCAGATCTGAGGATGAATGGTGGTTATAGATGAAGTGAATTTTTCAGGGATCGAGAAGTTTGATGGCACAAATTTTGGTTATTGGACATTGCAGATAGAGGATTATCTTTATGGGAAGAAACTTCATCTTCCGTTATTGGGGAAAAGACCTGAAAGAATGGATGAGGATGAATGGAATTTGTTGGATCGACAAGTTCTAGAAGTTATTCGATTGACTCTTTGAGGTCGTTGCACACATTGTCGTCAAAGAAAGGATGACTATAGATCTCATGGCAGCCTTATCAGGTATGTATGAAAAGTCATTGGTGAATAACAAGGTGCAATTGATGAAGAAATTATTCAATTTGAAAATGGAGGAAGGTGTTTCTATTGCTCAACACCTGAATAATTTTAATACTATCACAAATCAATTATCATCTGTTGAAATTGATTTTGATGATGAGATATGTGCACTGATCTTGTTGGCTTCATTAACAGATAGTTAGGAAGCCATGAGGATAGCAGTTAGCAGTTCTACATGTAAATATAAACTGAAATTCAATGATATTCGTGATTTGATTTTGGCTAAGGAAGTTTGCAAAAAAGATTCTGGCGAGGTCTCAGGTTCAAGCACTGAATGTTGATTTCAAAGTGAGATGGCATGACAAGAACTCAAGTATAGGGAGATCAAAATCAAAGTTTAGTAAGCAAGAAAATTGTTGGAATTGTGACAAAGCTGGCCACATAAAGAGGAACTGCAGGAATCCTAAGAAGATGGAGAATGATAGCTCAAATGTGGTATCTAAAAAATCACAGGATGTACTACTGTTGGCAGTTCATAGTTCTGTTGAAGACTTAATATTGGATTCATGGACTTTGAATGTGGTAGGAAATCTACTAGAGGCCACAGTGCAGGCTAGTGATGGAAGTGAAGAGGAAAAGAAGAGAGTGGATCTAAGGTTCTCATTCCTATTGTTCCACAGACAAATGTTGAAGAACCACAAAGCTATGAAGAAATCTTACAAGATGAAAGTTTGAGCAAGTGGGAGCTAGAAAAACTTCCACCAGGGAAGAAAGCATTGCATAAAAAGTGGGTGTACCAGGTGAATACTGAGTGTGATATCAGTAAGAGGTACAAGACTAAACTTGTTGAAAAAGGCTTTCAGCGGAAGCAGGATGTTGCCCATGCAGTGGGAGTTGATGCAGTGGACAAGAGTGACCCAGGAAATAACTTAGAGATGCAAAGCTATGTGGAGCCTGCTGATATGT